TGCAGATGAAGTTGTTCTTCATGTTGCATCTGTCGTCGTTCCACTGAAACATGTAAGGGCCTCCATCGCCGGCAGGCGCCGAAGGCTGGTGATACATCACAACACAGATTTCGCTTCCACAGGAGGGCTCATCGGCATACCAGTTCCTGCCAAAACAAAGCAAACCGTCAGGAAATTTCTTCTTGCGTCTGCTATGATCAGTTTTCCCCCCTTCCTGCATTAAAGACATTTCACTTAGCAGAGAAATGTGGAAGGAAGCAAATGCTTTGGAAGCACCTCTGGCTTTCCACTTACTCTATTTGTGCATTTCTGATTAAGGTTTCCAAGTGATATAAGGGAGGGATTTTATTTTTGTCTTTAGTAGTTGTATTGCTGTTGTTGGCTGCATTCACACTGCAGAAATAATTTGCAGTGTGGCACCAGGTGCCACGACAAACTACAGTCCCCAGAATTCAGTTAAACTGGTTCCCAACTGGATTATTTCTGCAGTGCGGATACAGCCGTTGTTGTTGTGTGCCTTCAAGTAATTTAATATAAGGAGATATAAGAATAGAAAAATGTATGCAATAATATATATATATCTGAAATCACTCCAGATATATATATATATATTATTGCATATATATATCTCCAGATATATATATATATATATTATTGCATACATATATATGTATGCAATAATATATATATATAATTTTCTGTTGTTCTCTATTAGTTATATAGAAAGAGGAATTTGAGTTCTCAAATCTTAAACTTTTCTCAACCTATGTTTGAAGAAGGATTTTGTATATAGTAGATATATAAACTCGATGTCGGATATTAGTATTTTATTGTACAAAGATTATGAAACTTAATACAGCTATTCAAATTTTTGTACAATATACTGAATTAAATATTTTAAAACAATAAAAGAAATAATTTTGACTTATGGTAACCCTAAGGCTTGGGGTTTCCATGGCAAGATTTGTTCAGAGGAGGTTTGCCATTGCCTTCCCCTGGGGCTGAGAGAGTGTAGCTTGCCCAAGGTCACCCAGTTGGGTTTACAGCCAAGCAGGAATAAAACCCTGGTCTCCAGAGTCGTAGTTGAATGCTCAAACCACTACGCCATGCTGGCTGTCAAAAAGATGATGTTTCCATATAGCACAGAGCATTTCACCAGGTGTTGCTTGCCATGCAGGCACTACTACTACTACTACTACTAATAACTTGTGCAATTAGTAATTAGAGATACAATAGTGAGTTCATAGAATCATAATATCATAGCATTGGAAGAGACCCCAAGGGCCATCCAGTCCAACCCCATTCTGCCATGCAGGAACTCAAAATCAAAGTTATCTCTTCCTCCTTTTTGTTGCATTTTTGTTGCTGTAAGCAAGACTCGGCCACAATCACTAAGCGAAATTCTCAAGGAAGCCAGATCAAATCTAAACGCATCCAAATCCACCGTCTGTCTTCAATGCTCTCATTTAACTTGATAACTTCTTCGTGGAAATCAGGCTCCTGAATGCAGACTTACCGAAAGGCGGATGAACTCCCGTCGGACCAGGAGTACAAGCTCGGGCATTCGGTGCTGTTGTCGGGATCCTCTTCCCTCGTCAGTCCGATCCAGAAATCCCCATCCGATGCCGAAACGCTGGCAATCATCTTCTCGATCAGGTTTTGCTCCGACTGAGATTCGATGCTGACCAGGTCTCCTCCGTCTCTTCGACAGGCTTGGAGGGCTTCCTTAAAGCCAAGCCTTCGCCCAACGTCATGGAGGTAAATGATCTTGTAACACGGTCGCTGGGTTCCTCCCCGGCAAATGGCCTGGCCTTTGGGAAGAGAGACAAGCCATTATTATTATTATTATTATTATTATTATTATTATTATTATTATTATTCTGCCCTTTTCACAAAACTGACATGACCTCTGCAGTAGACTAGTATTAATTAATCTTGCCCTGCCACACTGGATATTAAAATACTCTTTTTACCTGGCTTTTAACTTGTTTTTACCCTTGCTTTTACCATTACCTTCTTTTATTCTGTATCCCCAATAGCAAATGGAGAGAATCCTGTTGAGGCTATACTGGTTTTAATCTGTGTTTTTATCCATTTTTTAAATTCTGTTTTTATCTTGATTTTACCATTGTTTTTCAACATTACCTTCTTTTATTCTGTATCCCCTTTTTATCTGTGCTGGTCTATGACTGTAATAAAGATGAACTTGAACACAAAACTGGGATTCAAGGCGGCTCACATTAAAAAAACAACAACAACAGTTCAGTTAAAAGCATACAAAATGGTACATTAAAATAGAATTTAATTATTACAACATTAAAACAAATTGCATGCTTAAAAGAATAAAATGTGTTAAACTGTACAGATGAGGAAAAAAAAAACTCCCAGGTTTTATTTCTGTACAAATTTATTTAAACTGACTTGGGAAGCCAGAAGTCCTTAGTAGTGTCAGAAGTTCCCAGGAAACATTTTGGAATGAAAACAAAAAGTCATGCGAGGGTACATCTACACTGTAGAAATAATACAGTTTGACACCATTTTAACTGCCATGGCTCTATGCTACAGAATCCTGGGATTTGTAGTTTTGGCAAGATACCAGCACTCTTCTGCAAAGTTGGCAAAAGACCTTGCAAAACTGCAAATCCCAGGATTCCATAGGATGAAAAGTGTCAAACAGCATTATTTCTACAGTGTTGATGCACCTTGGGTCTCCAAAATAAAATCCAGGGTGCATCTACACTGTAGAAATAATGTGGTCTGACACAAATTTAATTGCCATGGCTCCATCCCACAGAATCCTGGGATTTGTAGTTTTGGCGAGGCACCAGCCCTCTTTGGCAGAGAAGGCTAAAGACCTTGTTGAACTGCAAATCCCAAGATTCCTTAGAAAGGAGCTACAGCACTTAAAGTGGTGCCAAATCACACTATTTCTACAGCGTAGAGGCCTCCTGGATCTCCAAAATAAAATCGAGGGTGCATCTACACTGTAGAAATAATAATGCAGCTTGACAGCACTTGAAGTGTTGTAATTTTAATTAAATCCCACAGGGCTGTGTTTAGCAAGTGTTTTTTTCCGCTAAGGCAAAATGGTTCTGCTCCAAGAAGCCCATTGCAGGAAACATGCAGAAGAATAAAGACTTATAATGCAAATTTCTAAGATATTGGTTTGGGGAGATTCCCTCTTGTTACCCCCTCTTCGGTAAAGTATATCTTCCAGTGCATCATTCAACAGATCTTAATATACTATGTTCAGTCCACTACTTGGAATTAAAGGGAAATATATGCCCTTAAAATGCTGAGCACAGGGAAACTGGTCTAGCCGCCATCAATATTAACACACACACAACTTTAATATGGATGGGAAAGAATATGCTGCAAAGAAGCCATTGGGATGAAGCTCATCACTTTAATAAAACTGGCACTAAACAACTCTGCAGAAGATCCACCCGGCTCAAGAGTGAGACTCTTTTGCAAACCAAGTTTTTGCAACAACCTGGCAAATCATCTGCGTTTTTATCAGCAAAATGTGAAGTTATTTTTAGCCGAGGCAAGAATGCAATGCAGCCGCTCGCAAGCCAGACGCTGCTACAAGTCAACTTGTCCAACTAGTGATCTCACTTTCCCCAAATACTAGAGATAAATCAGTGAAGCTGGAGATACTGGGTTGGATCCAGATTCTGTTGTGCTTACAGCAGACCCAGTGAAATAAATGGGATTTAAATAGTTATGCCTAACATGGGGCCCATTGATTCATATAGATAAGTATAGATCCGTATGGATCGTGGGGCCCCAGAAATTGAGGATTTGCCTCATTAGATGTTTTCCTCTTCATTATATTTTGCACCTAGAACCAAACTTCTGGGATCTGTTCTGCCTTTATTTAGATTCTAATACTGTTACAGGGGGGGAAAGTTAAATTTCCTATCTGATACTGATTCTATGGAAACCCATAGGCTTTTTTTTTCATTGTTTTTTGGCAGCAATGAAAATTCGGGCAAGATATATGGCCGATCTTGCAGTTGGTTGCTCTGGGGATGCTCTCATATAATGACAGTATCATTGCTTATATTTTATGTGCTGTAACTGCATTGAGATTTAAATTCTTTATATGCCAGGTTGTTAACGCTATTTATTTCACATTGCGCTTTTGTAACGCTGCTCTGACGCGTTGCATCGTATTTTATCATTTTGCGTGCGAATGGCCTGTATAGTCTAAGCATCAATAAATAAATGAACGAGTCGAGTATGGATCTGACTTGAAGGCGTATCACCATCACAACCTTTTCACATGCGTGTGTTTGTGGGGCAGGCGTTAAATGCAAACACAACCTGAACATTTTGCAAAGACATTTTGCAACTAAAATCTGGTGCATTGTGGCATGAGCTTGTCTGCATGCTTTTTTAGTTCTTTATTTCATATCCCATCTTTCTCCCAAACATAGGAGCCAAAGCAGCTTACAATGTAACTTAAAACAAAACTGTGAAGACAACAAGTAGCACAATTTTTTTAAAAAAGCATGAAACAACCAGTCAAATGAAAACATTGTTAAAACTATTTCAAAACACATATTCAGCACCATTTGGAAGTACCTTCCAAGAACAAGGCAAGTTAAAGCTTTGGCAAGACTGGTCTGCCATGCCAGAATCGTACTGAGCTAAAATATTTAGTCCAACCATTTCTATCCATTTCAGAAGTGGGACAAAAATGCCCTCCAAATACTAGATTAATCTTTGGAGTGGTTGGTTTGCTGTTGTTGTTGCCAAGGCAGAAATGCAAAACCCTTGGCCACCTTCTATGTAAGGCTGAGACCATTGCGGCATATTTGTAGAATTAGCTTGTTCTTGTTCTTGTTGCGTGCCTTCAAGTCATTTCCAACTTGTGGCGACCCTAAGGCAACCCTATTGTGTGGTTTCCTTGGCACGTCTTCAGAGGGTTTGCCACTGCCATCCTCTGAGGCTGAGAGAGTGTGACTTACCTAAGCTCACCCTATGGGTTTCCATGGCTGAGTCGGGATTCGAACCCTAGTCTCCAGAATCATAGTCCAACGGTTCATACCACTACACCATGCTGGCTCTCAAAGCTTGTTCTTATGTGCCTTCAAACTGACCATGATTTATGGCAACCCTCTGGGGGCATTGACCCCAAATTCCTAGCATTGCAGAGAGAGAAGGGGAGACTGAAAATCATTCACACCCAGAACTCTAGTAACTGCTGTGTTTGCATTCCTTTGCCTGCCCTTCTCCCTTGGATACCTGAACTTTCTAAATGCGTAGTTAATGTTTTTTGTTGCCTTGTTGTGTGCCTTCCAGTCACTTCTGACTCATGGCATCCCTAAGGTGGCAATACTATCACGGGGGTTCTGGGCAAGATTTGTTCAGAGGAGGTTTGCCCTTGCCTTCCCCTGAGGCTGAAAGAGTGTGATTTGCCCAAAGACCCCCAGCGGGTTTCATGGCCGAGCTGGGAATCGAACCCTGGTCTCCAGAGTTGCAGTCCAACACTCAAGACCACAATGCCACACGTCACCGCAACGCTAGATATTTGGGGACTGAAGGAAAATGCCATGGGAGGGCCAGAATTGCTATGGGGAGTTAATGCCTTCATTTTGCCCTCTTTGCAGATATACCCCTAGACTGGCCTGTGTCTTATTTGGGGACCAATGCCCTCATTTTGCCCCTCTGCCAGATATACCCCAGGAATTGCCCTTGTCTTATTTGGGGACCAATGCCCTTATTTTGCCCTTTTTGCAGATGCACCCTTAGATATGCCCTTGTCTTATTTGGGAAAACCAATATGCCCTCATTTTGCCCTCCTGCCAGACATTCCCCAAGACTTGCCTTTGTCTTATTTTGCCCTCTTTGCAGATACACCCCTGGACTTGCCCAAAGTCACCCAATGGGTTTCCATACTTGGGAGGATTTAGAGCCTGGACTTCCAGAGTCCTTGTCCAACTTGCACACAAGAGCAGCAGCAACAATGGCCCAAAAGGGGATGCTTTTAAAGAGAAATATTTGCTCCATCAAATTGTAATATGTTTTTCTGTTCAGCTGGGTAGGTTTTTGCATTGTCTGTCTGATTCTGTGGGACGGGGATGCGAAGGAACAGAGAAATTCATCCAATGCAGACCTCCCTGACAACAACTGGGAAATCTTGGGCTGTTTATATTTTCAGGCGCTCCTCATACCAAAAGGGTGGAAAGAGTTTATTTAAGGAGCCTTGAGAAGAGGGAGGAAATAGATGGAGATTCCAAAAGTGTGCCTGAAATGCTGCTGTATTAAAAAGAGACATTCCACTTGCATGGTATTTTGGGTTGGCTATTCCAGTGAAACCACATGCTACCAAAAGTACCTCATCTCCAGAGGCCCTTTCACACTACACAATAATAGTGGGATGATTACACTTTAACCGTCATGGTTCCCCCCTATGGAATCCTGGGATTTGTAGTTTGGGAGGGCATTTAGACGTTTCGGCCAGAAAATGCTAGCGCCTCACCAAACTACAAACCTGCTACAAGCTACAAATCCCCCCCTCTTGGCAATAAGGCTCAGCGTTTGGTGAAAGAGCACTTGGTCAAGTTCAGACCAAATTTCAGAAAAGTCACTATATGATTCCTGAAATCAACCAGCTCCATTGCCACTGCCCATGCTGGCTGGGGGATTCTGGGAGCTGCAGTCCAAGACAACAATTCTTCTCCAATTCAATGCTAATACCTCTGGCTGAAGAGGATTCTCAAGCAGACCCTGGAAAGTTGGGTCTCTGCTCTCAGGAACAAAGAACAGGGCCAGAAATCTGACTCAGTAGAACCAGCTTCATATTTATTTCTTCTTCCCCCTGAAATTGAAAACAGGCTCCTGGGCTTGAACGTCGGGCCCAATAAGCCTTGCCAAGATCCATGGTTTCCGTCAAGAGAGTCGGGGCTTCTTACCATATTGTGAAGCTGGCAAGCCCACCATCCCCATGGGCCAAGGACAGCAAAGCACATGGCACTATGCCCTTGGCCCAGGCCCATCCTGGGGTTGTACCCCAATTTTTAAATTATTTTATATTATTCTTCTCTGCTCTCCAAAGCATCAGCAGATTGGAGAGCTGGAAGGGGTCCCAGTTTCTCAGCTGCATAAACACATGTGGCTTCTTTCCACTTGGGTTTGGAAATGCTTAATTTTGGGCAGAAAACTCCTGCATTTTCTAAAAAATCTCCCCTCATTTACCCACCGACATGATCCGCACTGGACACTGGCGAAGGAGGTTTTCACTTGCAAAGGTTGATGCCCCCCATGTTTAAATAAGTCATCTCCTAAGGCATTATCCATACTCCTTGATGGATGGAGAGAAGTTTGGCATTGCAAAACCCTGGAATTTCAGTTGGTTTTAAAATGGCTAAACCATGCACCGGAAAATGGGATGCTGTGCCTGGCATACTGTCTGTCCCTCTCTTTTTTTAAATGAAACCTCCATTCTCCATTCTTTTCCCTCCTATGTGTTTGCACCCTCTTCCCAGTCAGGCTGTGAACAAATTCAGAAGCAGAAGAACAACTTACCCAAAGAAAACTCCCTGTGCAGATTTTTTCATCTGCAGGAGTTAAACTGGAGGTAAGGGATTTAGCCCCTCCAAAATACAGGCATGCAAACTTTGGGCATGAATGCAAGCATTTCCCCTTTATCTTCCCCACACCAAACCAGAATCTTTGCTCTCCACCCAACATCAAAATTAACTATCACCCCACCCTGAATAGACCCCATCTTCTTCGAACAAGGCAGGGCCAGGGGCCAGGTGAGTACCTGGATGAGAGACCACCTAAAAATACCAAGGATCTCCAAATCCAGCAGTCTTGGGAATTCCAGTTTTTGGAATATTTCTCCCTGGAACCTAGGAGATTCGTGGCTGCCGGTCAGAGTTGGCTTAGATCAATGGTTCCCAAACTTTGGTCCTCCAGATGTTTTGTACTTCACCACCCATAATTCCTGACTGTTGGCTAAGCTGGCTGGAGCTTCTGGGAGCTGAAGTCCAAAGCATCTGGAGGACCAAAGTTTAGGAACCACTTAGACGGACCAAGAGTCTGGCTCAGGTATTAGGGTAGCTTCCTATCTTCCTATATAGCAGGTCCTTGGTAGGGCTTGGGAAGCCAGAAGACCCAGAGCTGACAATACTGATCCAGATGGATCAAGGGCCAGACTCACTATAAGGCACCTGTGTACGATCCTCTCCTGAAAGTCCCTGGTTCAGTCCCTGGCATCTCCAAGAAGGACTGGGAAAAAGTCAAAACCCTGGTGGGTTAGTTGGCTCTGAGACCAAATGTGGATGTCGGGGGGAGAGCAAAGGTTTAGTGCGGGGAGCAGAGAAGGGGAAAGATTTGCACCAACGTCCAAAGTTTGCATGCCTGTAGATTGGAGGGGCGACATCCCTTTCCCCTAATTTACCTCCTGCAAATGAAAGATTTCGTTTGGCAAGTGGCTCCTTTGCTTCTGCATTTGTTCACAGCCTGGCTGGAAAGAGGAATGTCCCTTTTGGCACAGTCTTGTTCAGGGCAGAGGAGGAAAAGGAAGAGAGGGGCATTGCCCATCATCCCCATTAGTTCTTCCTCGGTCACAAATATCCTCAGGGGCATTGCCTCCCCATTTACGGTACTCAAAGGGCGACTGAACCCCAACTCTATCTCCGATCCTCAATCCAGAAGGAAAGGCAATTCTGGACACTGGGGACCTCTCAGCCCTTAGGAGTCCATCCCCTGGCTGGCCAGCACACTGGGATCTTTCTCTTTGCTGCCCCTATCTCAGCTCTGTGCCCCCATGTCTTCTCTCCCCTGGGCCCATGGACCTTGGGACAGGATCTAGTCTAAAGCCTTCCAACAAAGCAAAGATAGGAAAGCTGGCCACCTCTTAAAGAATCAGGAAAAGTTGGGCTGCTAAGATTCTTGTGGAGTTGAGTTCCTTTAAGAATGACCCATCAGAAGGAATGAGCAGCCAGAATGGTTAGTCCTTGGATGGGAAGCCACCAATGAAGATCAAGTGCTGTGGGATTTATTCCAGAGGCAGGAACTGGCAGACCTAGAAGTCTTCTTTCCCTAAGATAACCCTAGAAAATCCATAGGGTTGCCATAACTCAAGACGCAACACACACACGCAGACGGAGGAGACACCAGATCCCATCTAATCTTGGAAGCTAAGCAGGGTCATTCCTGATTAGTCCTTGGATGGGAGACCACCAACAAATCCCAGGTGCTGTAGGCTTTGTTTCAGAGGGCAACCCCCTCTGGGTCTTCCTTGGGAAACCTATGGGGTCCATTGCCTAAGAGTGAGTCCTCCTTCCAAGATGGATGGGGAAAGGGGGTTCCCCTTCTGTCCTGGGGATGCCCCCCTCCTGCCTCCCTCCCCAAGTGGAGCCCCCAGGGTGACCTGACGTCCTCCTTTTCCAGGACATGCCCAAGAGGAATGCCCTCCAGACTTGAAAGCATGGCTCTATACTGATCTGCGAGGGGTTTTTTGAGCAGTCAGTCGATCGAGCCCTCGGCTTTTCTGGAACACCCCAAAGTTGGCAGCGTCCTCCTTTGGGGTTGAGGACACCGGGTGCCCCTGGGTCCTCCCCTTTTCTGGCCTGCCCTCCATTTCCAGGGCTGTCTGGTCCCTCTC